CGAAAGTATGTGGCACACGTTGAGGATCGAACTCACTATTCAGTTGTAATTGACCTAGCGACACAAGCTTGCTAACGAGTGTGCCACATAGCAGTGCTCTTTATTTACTAAGCGTAGCTTAGTTGTGGCACCAGGCCTAAAGTATGGGGCACCCAGTGAGGATCGAACTCACTATTCAGTCATAACTGATCTAGCAGGACAAGCTTTCTACCCATTACACCACGTCGAGGTGATCCCAAAATGACTCTCTAAGCATACGTTAGATGTAGCACAAGCTGAATGTATGGTGTACCCAGTGAGGATCGAAATCACTACACAGTCGTAATTGATCTTACAAGATAAAATATCAAACCATTACACCACGTTGAGGTGCCCCAAAAGTGATTCATAAGCGTAGCTTAGATGTGGCACAAAGCCGAATGTACGGTACACCCATTGAGGATCGAACTCACTATTGAGTCATAACTGATCTAGCGAAACAAGTTGGCTTACCATTACACCATGTCGAGGTACCCCCAAAACGATTTCTAAGCGTAACTTAGATGTTGCACAAGGACGAAAGTATGTGGCACCCATTGAGGATCGAACTCACTATTCAATCATAACTGACCTAGCGAGACAAGCTGCAGCACAAACGAACGTGAAACAGGGTTGATTATTCGTTTTTTTTTTTTGTTTTTTTCGTCTGGGGTATAAAAGCCATCATTCGAGAAACGATGCATTTCGAGACGAAGGCAGCAGTTTTTTGAGGGCAGTATGTTTGAAGAAGATTGATAGAGGAGAGTCTGCGATCTAAAAGCTAAAGTTGTTTCAGTCGGCTTTTGTGTACTAAGAAATCTTTTTATGGAAGGTTACACCAGGGGAAAAGTTTGGCTTGGCATCAAATTTGTCACTGATTAGAGAATTATCTGAAACTCCTAGGAGTCGAGAGGAATTTAGCAAAGAATCTTTCAGGGCGTGATGTGAGAAAGAGTTCAACGAGTTGCGCCTGATGTCATATTGCATCAGGAATGCGGGTTAAGGTTCGTCAATGATCTGAGGTAGTTGGACGGTGATCGAGAAGTCTCTGCAATGTCTGTCTTCTTCATCAATTTTGTTTGAGTGAACTAAACACTCATTTTGGTGAATATTGAAGTCAACACAAATATGAAAGCCAGCTGAGAGATATTCAGTGAAGTTATTACCAATCTTCTCGGATATTCGGTCGAACATTACTGTTCCACCATCCTCTGGACGACAAAGAGTTAAAATGAAAGAGGTACTGTGGTCAACTCTTGGTGGGTAACATGGAAACCCATCCATAATAAAGGCACCAAATAATTTCATAATATATATATATATATATAGATAAACCTAGTGAGCCAGACAAACCTACCTAGGTTTCACCTAAACGGATCGTCAGGGAAAGTAAGTAAGGATCGTCTAGTTATCTATAATTATATATATATATATATATATATATATATATTATAAATTAATTGATTTAAAATATGGTTATTTTCGCTACACAGTTCCAACCATGTTTCAAAAATAGAAGCTAAAAACCCCTAATTTTATTTTTGCAAATAAATTAAAAGCATTAGTTCTATTTCATCTTCAAGCGAATTTAACAAATCGGAGACTTCAGAAAGCTATGGTAATATTTTATTTCGTGAGACCGATAAAATTAGATTTCGCTTCGTCAGACATTGCGGTTACAAAACAATGAATGGATTCAAGACTTCTTCCAGGAATCAACCGAAAAACGAAACAAAATACAAGAGTAACGGAAGTTGTGTTTTAAGATAGTTCCACAAGGTTTGAAGGGTATTAGAGAGGTATATGTCTCTAGGAGATGCGATGGTTGTAACGTTGACCTCTTATTCACCGGACAAGAAAAAGGTGTGATGATTTATCAAGAATAGAATAAAGTAACAGGGAGAAACAGGGAACAGAAGAAAGGAAGGAAGAACAGGTGAGCGTACACAAATTCCTATACCTACATACATACACATTTTTATATACACATATAATTACACATACGCATACCTCTATACACACATTCACATCCCTCTACACATATATAAATGTGTTCCCCCCATACACACATATACAGACATGCTCACATATTTATCTATTTGTATTTATAAACACTTATGCACATATTTAACTAGTACATTTCTAAGTAAGTACTTAGATAACATGTAAGACATCCTCAAAGACATATTAATTGTATCTAAGATTACAAAGTCTCTACTACAATGAGCATTACGAAAGTGACATCTAGTAATCGTTGGCATCACAAAAGTGTCAACGAGTGTTCGGTGATATCACAAAAGGTATGATTCACATTTGTGCATGTGTCATGCCCGGGCCAATTTGGAAAGGTCATGGCTGACTAAACATTGAAGTTAGTCAGAACATATACCATGGAAATAGCGGCAGAGAATCGAAAGTCTCACAACGTTTCCTTTTTGGGAAATGGTTTGCGGGCTCGAAAATAATTAATTTCCGACAAGACTGCATAGACATTTTAAATATTATCAAGAGAGGCAAGTAAGTTCTGAACAGCTCCATCCCAGATATGGTAGAATTAATCTATACTTGGTCTGATCTAGCTCTTGTAAAGAGAAATTCCCCCCACCTAAGGCAATGTGCAGAGGGTTACAGAGAGTAAAAGTGAGAGAAAATCCTGTGTATAGTTGGGTTGAGATTGAGGAAAACATAAAAGATGAAAAACGATCCCCGCAACAGAAGATGGTGATTGGCGTTGCATTTAAATTTTTGAAGATTGTAATAAGGGAATCAAGTAAGAGGAAGGGAGTTCCACTGTCGGGAAATGCGAGAAACGAAACAGAGTAGAAGTGGTGGTTACTTATAGCTATTTAGACAGTAAAAGTTTTGGGCCCAGATGCCAATCCAGTAGCACGTAGTCGGGGCACCAGGGAAAATAGCTCGTCAGAAAATATTTGTAGAAAAGACAGAGGGAAGCCACATCACGTCTGTGAGAAAATGACTGACACTGAGCTGTAAGGTCAGGGTCGATTTCATTGTAGTTCCTTCTTTGTATTTAGTCGAGAATTTCGAGATGAACATCAGGGTCATTAGATCAGATATGGCAACAGTATTCAATGCACGGACGAATGATTTGTAGATGGTTAAGATGGACTCTGACGAGAATGACCATCTGTAGAGAGAGTCGGGTGCATACTCAGAGCGCACGATGAACCAACTATTTGTCCAGAATCTTTAAATCATATATATAGATTCCACTTGAGGTCTGAGGATAGACGTTCAAGGTATGGAACTTCTTTGAGAGAAGACCAATTCTTCATGATAGATGAAAGTTTGGAGTCTGCTCGGTGGTGGTGTAACAGTACAAGTTTGGATTTGAATTGAATTTTCCATGCCAGTTTTACCCCACTGAGATATCTAGACTAGGTCACAGAAGAGATCAGCTGATAGATTCTGGTCTTTCTGATTTTAGGAGATGCACCTATAAACTGTTGCATCATCAGCATAGATACTCATGGTGGAATAATGGATAGCGGCTTGGATTGAGAAATCGGAGAGCCGAGTTCGAATTCCAGTCGAATCCATTACATTCACTTACGTGCTAACACCCTTGGGAAAGGTGAGAATCCTCTTCTTCTCTCTTCAGCTATGGGTAAATAGCAGGGCAGGCTGGGTTCTATAGCCTTGGATGGCAACTGGTCTAGGAGAAGGAAAACTCTGAATTCAAAACTTGCGGAGGGTCGTTTAGGGACCTTGTGGTACGTAGTGCACCAGGTCTCTGTAATCGGAAAGTGTGGATGGTCCTGCACGAAACCTTAACCACTATAATCAAATCTCATGTCGGTTTCCTAAGAACTGATATGAAGCCTATACATGCTGGTTTGGGGACCGCTTGTGAATTCCAAATTCCCATGAAACTCCAATATTGGAGCCGGCTCGACCCTCCCCGGGTGAATGCCGTTACAAGACAAGAGAAGAGATAAATACTCACTCATGATCTGAGTGTGCTCAGAGGCACATCATTATCGTCTACGAAAGCTCATCAGAACAATTACCATGATAATATTTATATAAAAGGCAATCTATCTATTTTTTTAAACGTTAAACAACTCTGCAAGTCTGTATGTCCATTACACGAATTCTTTCCTTTCAGACTGACCACAAATTCTCGATTGGTTTTAAATCAGGAAAGTTTCCGGGGCAGTCTAAAATACCTTGATTTGCTCACTGGTTATGTTTACCAGCGTGTTCGTGCAGCGTTACAATTTTCGTACGCTTCCTTGGAGTAACGTCCATCGTAGACAATGGCCGTAGGACAACTAATCGACAGTTGAGACAATAGTGTCTGGGCGTGATGAAAATCTGATGCAAGCACGGATGATGCAATACTTTTCAAGACCAAATAAATTTCGTCATACACCCCGAAAATAGATTCATATTACTTCAAATGAGCTAATCTGAGGAAAAAATAGAAATCGTTTACCCCTGTTACTGAGCGTATGGTGAGAGAAAAGAAACTAAAGCGGTTATTTCGTCTACTTTGCACAAGGGTGTATCTCCCTTAATTTCTTTATATGTATCTTTTGTGGTCCGGTTTCTTGTACCACGGTGATAGTCCAAGGTAGAACCAATAAAGAAGAACTCGAACACAGGTATGGAATAACCCAGATATATTACAAACAGGAATATATACAGAGAAGTAGTTTAGTATGAACAATCAGGTTTAGTAGAGAGAACAATGTAGTCTCGACCAGTATCACTATTCCAATGTCTTGCAGTAATTGTCTGAACGCGACTCTGTTTCGGACTGCCTCTGACTCGACTCTTGACTCGACTTGAACTACTGACTGACTCCACTTGCCTACTCCTGAGGCGCAGTATTTATTAAGTAATGAATAGTCCATTATTATTATTATGGGTACGATGCCATAACAGTATCCATACATTAAATTACCACTTTGGTAAATTTAATTTATTAAATAAGAAAGCTCACCGGAACAATTATCATGATAATATTTATAAAAAAGGCAATCTATCTATCTATCTATCTATCTATCTATCTATCTCAATTCTTCATATGTATTTATACGTTAACTGATCTCGTTGGTAAATTTAATTAAATTCTTTTATCAGTTCTGTAACTTGTCTTCTAATTTTTTTTTATTCCCCTTACGAGAATTCCGATTAATTTTCGTTTGAATTTTTTCTTTTACAAGTTCCTTGTTTCATAAACCAAATATCCCTGAATTCTCATCAAATTGGAATTAATCCCAATTCGTTACATGCCCTTTTCGTAATGGCTGTGAGATGAGTCAAAAGACCAACAAAATCGAAAATAAAAACGTCACGCAGAAATGGAATCGCTCAATGCAAAACGAGGGTCAGCGAGGCTTAAAATTCAAAGGGAACCCGTATTTTTCCTCTCAATCTTTAGCAGCTGTCATTTCGAGCAGCGATACATGACACTTCGTTAATTTCCGGTAGTGCTGGCGTCATTGTTTTCCGGAAACAATGAAGGCTATGGCGGATTTGTCACACAAGATTTGCTAAACATTTCAATAGTAAAGTCAGGCATCGTGCCAATTGGTGGTTTCTTAATCAACCAGAAAATTCTAACAGAAATGGAATTTAGCTATCTAGTAAAATTGAAGCAGTGTAAAAAAACAAAAAAACAAAAAACATCAAATAATAATCAACGTGGATGCACATGTTTCTCAATTCATCCATGTGTAGTCTAACTATCAACATACGTTGTTATCACCTGCCTGCAGGGTAAAAGATGCATCTTCAGTCGATGTTTCAAGCCTAACTTTAGATTTTAAGGTGATTTCTTTTTAGATATGAATATTATTCCCTTAAATAATGGTCCAGCAAAAATTTTCATTTCAAAACACAGGCTAGAAGTCACGTATTAAACGAATGATGGATTGAGTTCTAAAATTCTTAAAAGATATTTTTAAATCCTAATTGCAAATTCTACAATGTTAAGTTTAAGTATCGACCACAAAGTTAAGATTTGTATCTGTTGGTTGATATGTTTAGATATGGTTAGCAAATTTTAAAAAATATTTCCTAAATGTTTGATAGAAATGACTCGAGTTTTGTTTTTTCATTTATTAACACCATACTTATTTTGCCTAAATTCTTCTGACGCCAGTTTAACTTAACGCGTACATATTTTCTTATATTGATCATCTATAATTTTCGAAAAGGAAACTTTCATTGAAATATGCTGAAGAATTTTCTAATTTTTGTCTGAAATCAAGAAACTTTAGGAAAAATGGTCTCTAAGATATGAAAAAAAGCTGTCATTTTTACACTTAACATCTTTGCGTCAATTGTAACTAACAACACAAATTCTAGCATCCTTTCAAGACAAATTGAAGTTGGACAAATTATCGGAAATTGCCGATAAAATACTCGAAAACTATACCCAACAGAACAATGTTTATACTATATTCCTCACAACGGACAAGCAACAGATTCTCACAAGTAGAAAATAATATGAGAATTAAGTATTCAAATCAAAGTTTAATGAAACACCAACAGCGAAATAGCCATCGCTCACTTGCAGAATTTAAAAAATGCTCCTACTCTCAGCACAGAACAAGACAGATTAAGTCCTTCGGGTGACTCAAATATGATTCCTATTGGTATCATTACAAATTTAGTCAACACGAAAATAAGTGCTTAGAACAACGCGCTTTAAAGTCAAGAAAAGGCCAAACTGCCAAGCAGGGAAACGGATATTGCTGCAGCAAGTCAAGAATTCATTAATTGCTTGAATAGAACATGAATGTCGTCTACATTATATTGTGGCACCATTTAAGGGCACGAAAAGAAAAAAAGGAAGAAAAGAAAGGAAAAGGAGAGGGGAAAGAAAGGAAAAGAGAGGCGAGACTTAAGCTTAGATGATAAAAGAAGCCACCCACGACCGGGGACATTGACAATGTTATTTTGATAAGTAGCAAATGGCGAAAGGTTTCATTACCATTGCAGAAAAATTCTAAATGGATAAGAAAATCGACTATGTTCTGGTGGCGAACTTGTGTTATCGGGGATAGATAACAGCCACTTAATGCTGGCGAACATCTAATTAACAAACCACAGACCGGCTAGCTAAAATCTCCGAGACAATTGACAATGTTATTTTGATAATGGAAAAGATAGTGAAAATTCTGACCACCAGTGTCGTAGAACTGTCTGACAAAGAACAGGTGAATATCGAGCTTTGGATAGATGAGAAAAATTAACTGTGTCAGAGGGGGCAAACAATATTGTCAGGAAAAGATTTAATAGGTCGTCTGCTAACCTCACACGAAGCCAACCCTGGGTCACGTCTTGGCCGTTTTGACAAGACATCTATGGGTGTTAGAATTCGGTTGTGATAACAAAACTATGTTATCAGAAATTGGCACCAAGAATGCAAATACGGCTAGAACAATGGAACTGTTTTTTCGAGACGACGGTCGACTGTGTTTTCGCTAGACGACTACCCCACTTGATAATTGGCATTGATAGATCCCAGGTGACATTGGAGGATGAGAGCTGCGATTAAGGAAAGAAAAGGAAAAGAAAAAGATTTTTTTTTTTTTTGAGCAAGGTATATATATAAGATGCGTTATTGTGGTTGTTAAATGGTTGGACTTCCGGAACTAAGATATCAACCAAAACCTGGGTAGACGTTTCTCAACAGGTACACACTTGACTGTACACGTTATCAGTGTATCGAGAGGCTGCATCGGAGAGATCTGCACTATTCTTATCAGCTCCTGGCAACAGTTCAAACTGAAGCAAAGTAATGTGTTAAATAATGATGTTGGTGGCTAATATATAAAAAAGCTACCTGCTTACTTACTGGTTAAGTAAATGTTGTTCACTTATATTTTAGTTTTAATGCAATTACATGGCACGTAGACCATGGATGCGGTCGGTGCGCTCGAGACGAACAGAAACGAGAAATGAATGAAGCATTTCAAACTCTATATTAATTGCTTAGCATAAGAAATATGACGGTACAGTGGCGATGATAATTTTCGTCGTATCATCTCCAGCCAACTATCAAGGAACCAAACTACTCGTATCGTCCTTGTAAGCAAATTAATAACTTTCCTATCAGTGTCAAAATAGAAGTAAATTAAGCCAAATGCAATATCCAAACAGACATGATAGGGCAGATCTACTGATATGCCAGGAATTGCACAAATAATTTTAGTTCGACCTACTAAGCAGAAGGTAAGGTCGGAAATCAAAGGCTATTATGTTAAAGAAAAAAAAACAGAGCTTTACCGTCTAATGAAGTGAATTCTTGATTCGGTTTTTAAGAATGAAAGGAAAGCTATCAGATTGTTGACGCTATTTAACTAACATTCCTCAGAGAAAAAAAATAAAAGGAATGCAAAAGATTAAAAACACCAAGATATAACACGATAACTGTTTAGAACATGCGTATTAGTGTCATCCATATTGTATCGGATCAAAACAACCTAGACAAAAATAGATAATAATTCTGAAAAAAACAAAAAACAAAACAAAGTCAACATTGTTCAGATGCAGAGTACTGGTAGAATCGATAATATTACAGGGAAAAGTGCTTACTAGGAGAAGACATGTGGCTGTTTTGGTCGAAAAGTTAATCTGTATGATAGGAAGATTGTATCATATAACTTGATGGTAAATAAATACATGCACGCTGGTTTGCCGCTGTTACGTATTTTGAGCTCTTTGTATTTTTTTTTGGTGTTCTGTATATAAGGGACTGCTTTTTTTCACAAAACTTTACATTTGTTAATATATTATGGTCTTTGATCGAAGTAATATTGCATAATGTGAGTAATAATAATTATAAAAATATTTTCTATTGCTGATAAACGTAAATTGTGTAAATAATAATAAAGTTGATAATATTGTTACCACATCAAATTGTATCATGAACTACTTTGAAAAAGAAAACAACAGTTTTATAGATGGTTCCTACAAGGATGCATCATTGGCAGCCACAAACTTACCAATATAAGATACACAGATGACACGGTACTGATAGCAGATACGGAAAAGAAACTACAAAACCTCCTAGAGAATGTAGTGAGGGAAAGCGAGAAGAAAGGACTAACTATAAAGTAGAAGAAGACAGAATGCATGGTCATCAGTCAAAGGATGAGCACAAAATGCGATTTGCAGGTCGGGGACATTAAACTCAAGCATGTGCTGAAGTTTATGTATCCTGAGTGTTTTCTGACAGAGGACGTTAGGTGCGACGCTTCGATCCGAAGACAGATTGGGATGGCCCAGGATGCCTTCCAGATGCTGGGCAGAGTACTGCGAAACAGGAGGATTTCTAGGGTGACAAAGAAAAGACTACTGAGCTGCTACGTGATATCTGTCCTACTATACGGCACCGAATGTTGGACGGTATCCTCAAGGATGAAGAAGAGACACGAGGCGGCGGAGATGTGGTTCTACAGAAGGATGTTGAGGATATCATGGAGCGAGAATGTGAGCAAAATGAGGTATCAGGGATGATGCAAAAAAGGAGGAAGCTTATGCATAACGTAAGGAAGAGGCAGAGGAAATCTCTGGGACACCTGGTGAGAAAGCAGGGACTGGAGAATCGGATACTTGCGGGACAAGGGGAAAAGACAGGGAAAGCTACGCATGACATACGTGGCGGGATTGGGGAGGTGGATAGCGAAGCGTGGTCTGGCGGGGTTGGCAGAAACACAAAACCTGTTAAGTGTCACAAAGGAACGGGGAAAGTGTAGGGCTATGATCGTCTACGTCTTGAAAGGACACGGCACATAAACATATATATATATATATATATATATATATATATATATATATATATATATATATATATATATATGTATGTGTGTGTGCGCTCGAGCGTATAAGTATGCGATGGATAAATTGTCGTGTAAAATATCTTGAAACAATAAAAAGTATATATATTCGATAAAGACGATTTCGTAATCTCCTGCAACTCTTGTGGATGGTCTCCTTGTTTAAGTATATATATATATATATATATATATATATAATTTTCAGATAAATATAAAAGTGAACATAGAAGTCAACACTTAGAGGCGACAGTCTGTTTCATGCTATATGCAATCGTCAGGCCACATTTTCAGATATATATATTTTCATATCGATATATTTTTCATATATATATATATAGTGGAATCTCCGATCGTGAACGATAGATGAGGGTCAGCATTCATATTGTCTATTGTTTGACACGTATGCATGCTAGCAGGGGCTATTGTGGAGAAAATCCGGTAAGGGAAATACATATTTCATTTGTGCTTTCTTAAGTTTGCTACTAACCTAGCCTTGCTGCGGGCGACAAAGCCACACTGACAGATGAAACTTGTTAAAACAGGATTTTGATGGCGCCTTTGCTTTAGAACTTGACGAAGCTCTTCACGGTACTTTAGTCTCTTGTGTATATATATATATATATATATATATATATATATATATATATATATATATATATATATATAAATATAATGATTTCATGACTCGTGTCCAGAGAAATATTAGATCGTATCTTATTCTCTCAATTGATACGACAACTGAGAATGTTTGCAACCTATCGGATATATTTTAGTCTCACCTCATCACCCATTAGACAAAAAGACAACTCCGTTTCCGCCTCCTCTGAGCAACAGTATAATCCTTACCATCTTTGCATTTTTATCATTTACAATTTTAGCGCCCCAGTATGACGCCATTTATCATTATGTCGTCGCCTGAATTTGACAGCGATTGCGCGTACGCATGCGCATTCACCCCAACACAGAATTGGACACGCTCAGATTCTTCATAGATTTTGCAACTTCTCTTTCACTTCTTGCTTCAATTCGCCTTTTTCAGTCGTACATTCTACTGTTTTGTTTTCTTCCATTGTCTCTGTCGATGTTTTTCCCTCGAGGCCAGGGGGAGGGCATTAAATATTATCGGCAGACACATAAGTCAGTAATAATTTGGAAGTTTAAGGGAAATAAAGAAAGAATAAATCTGAAAAAAATGATATATGAAATTAGGAGGAACACGTGGGATATTTTTTTTTTATTTCTTTGCTGTCCTATCGAAGAAGGAAAGCCATTTTTAAAGAGATGTCTGGAATTCAGAATATATTCGGATGATGGTTAAGTATATTTTATGCCCCAATGAATTCTGAAAAATGTCCATCGAATAGTAATTTGCATATGCCAACACACGCATACACACTCACTAACACACATATATATATATATATATATATATATATATATATATATATATATATATATATATATATATATATATATATATATATATATATATATATATATATATATATATATATATATATATAGGAGTTGAAATCTGTATGCCCATAGTATATTTACTCATATATATTCCCGGGGAATTATGTCACTGAAGACAGATTCTTATATCTTAATTTGAGCATATACTTCAATCCATATATATAGAAGTTTATTTCTATGCCTGTAATATATATATATATATATATATATATATATATATATATATTGAAATATGTGAATTACACTTCGAGAATTATTACATAATTTTTTTTAGATTTGCATAAATATATCCTTAGAATTACATGTATGCTCTCCTCCTCTCCCCCTCCCTCCCTCTCTCTCTCTCTCTCTCTCTATATATATATATATATATATATATATATATATATATATATATATTAAGCGTATTTATACATGTATTCAGACAAGCATGCCATATCGTGTCCATACATATATTAGGTATACAGCTACTATGTAAGTTTGCCTAATATATATATATATATATATATATATATATAGATATATATATATACATATATAGATATATATATATATATATATATATATATATATATATATATATATATATATATATATATATATATATATATATAAAGAAAAAAAAAGAAACAGTAAGATATATAATCCGGTCTTCTTATAGATATTTTTATTTTTACAAATAGTGCTCGATGTAAATTTACAGAGCATTAATATAAATTAATTGATTTAAAATATGGTCTTTTTCGCTACACAGTTCTAACCATGTATCAAAATGGAAGCTAAAAGCCCCGAATTTAATTTTGTAATTAAATTAAAGACATTAGTTCCATTTCATCCTCAAGCGAATTTTGGAGTAACTTTTAAAATTACTAGGTTTAATTTAATTACAAAATTAAATTCGGGGCTTTTAGCTTCCATTTTTGAAACATGGTTAGAACTGTGTAGTGAAAAACATATTTTAAATCAATTAATTTATAATATATATATATATATATATATATATATATATATATATATATATATATGAGAAAATTGCATACAGTCACAGAAATACAGATTATCACGCTGAAAAAAAACCTGTTCTCTTTCGATCTCAGAAGTTCTGTAGTGTCGACCATTGTCATTATTTAGATAAAAAGACAGCTTGAGGAGACAGTATACTTTTAGCAACCTCCTATAATACAAAAAATATTCGACTTCAAATGACCTACAAAGTGTTGTTAAGCCGAAAATAACAACTCAAACAAGGCACATACTGCCTACGTCTTTGCATTTGCCACGTTATAGATTTTCAATCTGTTCATATTCAATTTATCTCGAGATTAGTCCGTACCAATTGACATAATATAATTGTACTAAATTTTCATATTAGATGAGACCTAATAGCCACTCAAGCATACTGAACGAGGTTGCTGTGTGTTATACCAGAACATTACCTATTCTATTGTAATAGTCTCTCCGAGACATAAGTAGTAGTAGTAATAGTAGTAGTAGCAGTCGCCAGTTGAGCACAGTGGAGTTGAGTGAGTCAGTCGATGTCCGACATTGAAGTATCAACCATCACAACTAGATTGCTGCGTCATTAACTATTATTGCAAGTTCCTAACGTTTTGTACGTCGGACCCTTTTAGGACCGACTTAGCGAAATACAAGCCTCCACTGTGAAAACTACTCTACAACACTGTGTGATCATAATAGGTGGTCGTAAGTAATCCAGTACATGCAGATACGCAGGAAAGGTAACCGTTAACCCTAGAAATATTCTCTCGGTCGTCTGTTCTACAAAGCAGCATTTCTCGAGAAGCTACCCGAGTGGAACTTACCTGCTGAAGACGAATGGAATGTGGACGTCTCGCTCCGAATGTGCATGGCATGGCATGTCTTAGCCGTGAACGTTAGACCTGGTGGATCGAAGGAGTATAGTTTCTCTTAACACCTTCCATGGAAATAGCAATAGTGCAGCCATAAGCTTGTAAGCTTTCGTCTCTGAGAAAGGTGTTGTATGTTAGGAAATAATTCATCACCCACAGGGACGCGGTTCTTGGAAAGAAGCTGTCCGAATGGAAATGACTGGCTTACAAAGTGAATGGGGTTGATTCGCCTCAGGTTAAGTGGCATAGACAGTCCTGGATGAAAAGATCTGTGCTTGTAGAATGTAGCTCGCAATAAAAATAAAAATATCTATAAGAAGACCGGATTATATATCTTACTGTTCTTTTCTTTTATATATATATATATATATATATATATATATATATATATATATATATATTAGGCAAACTTACATAGTAGCTGTATACCTAATAGATATGTATGGACACGATATGGTATGCTTGTCTGAATACATGTATAAATACGCTTAATATATATATATATATATATATATATAGAGAGAGAGAGAGAGAGAGAGAGAGAGAGCGTTCTAGCAACAATGAGATCTTAAAGAGATTGCAAACAAGGAGCAGGTTTATACTTAACATCAGGAAGAGGCAGCTGAAGTATGTGGGATACATAATGAGGAAGGAGGGCCTGGAGAATCTGATACTCACGGGTCGAATAGCCGGAAAGAAAAACAAGGGATAAGAACGCGTGACATACTTGGCGGACAAGTGGATGACAGAACGTGGTCTGGGAGAGGAAGCAGAGGGAAGGAACTCGTGGAGAGCTTCAAGGGATAGAGGGAGGTGGAGAACCATGATCGCCTACGTCCTGAAAGGACATGGCAGATAAAAAGAAAAGAAAAAAACCTCGACAGTACATTTTCCGTGGAAGTAGAATTAAGGAAACGAGCGTCATCTGCGTGAAAGATTTTTTTACAATGATATTGAACCTTTACAAGGCTCGAGAGTTACTCGAGGATACAAATTAATTTATAGGAATATGTGGGGAAGGTAACGGTTAACCTTACACTTGAGTAATTTAAAATGTAGGGATCGGGGAAGAATCCTTTTAGAATTCGTTTCAACAAATCTGCCGTCCATGGAAAGACGCTACTCAAAAGGAACTCACCAATGAAATAAGAAGAAGAGAATGAGCATTGTTAGCTACAATGTGTATGACGCGGTGGGTCTTCAGCATGAAGGTTAAAACTAGTGGAAGTAAGGAATATATTTCTTCTTAACACTTTACATGGAAATAGAGATAGTGGACAATTATTCATCACACACAAGGCCTGGTAAATGAATCTTGAACTCTTTTCAGAATGCAAAGAGCTCTATCTATCTATCTATCTATCTATCTATCTATCTATCTATCTATCTATCTATCTATCTCAGTGTGTTCAGATCTATCTATCTATCTCAGTCTATTCAGATCTATCTATCTATCTCTCTATCTATCTATCTATCTATCTATCTATCTATCTATCTCAGTCTGTTCAGATCTATCTATCTATCTATCTATCTATCTATCTATCTATCTATCTATCCCAGTCTGTTCAGATCTATCTATCTATCTATCTATCTATCTATCTATCTATCTATCTCTCAGTCTGTTCAGATCTATCTATCTATCTATCTATCTATCTATCTATCTATCTATCTATCTATCTCAGTCTGTTCTGATCTATCTCTCTCTCTCTCTCTATCAATCTGTCTCAGTCTGTTCAGATCTATCTATCTCTCTCTCTATCTATCTATCTACCTCAGTCTGTTCAGATCTATCTATCTATCTATCTATCTATCTATCT